ACAATAGAAATGAAAAAACATAAAAGTAAAGAGAAGATAGAAAACATATAATTGACGTATTTGTATTTAGCTATGTTAATTTATACAACTTTAAAAGAATTAGTCTCAAGAGTAGGTACATCAATGGAGAATTACTTACTTACTTACTTACTTACTTACTTACTTACTTACTTACTTACTTACTTACTTACTTACTTACTTACTTAATTACTTACTTACTTACTTACTTACTTACTTACTTACTTACTTACTTATTTACTTACTTATTTACTTACTTACTTACTTACTTACTTACTTACTTACTTACTTACTTACTTACTTACTTACTTACTTACTTACTTACTTACTTACTTACTTACTTACTTACTTACTTACTTACTTATTTACTTACTTATTTACTTACTTACTTACTTACTTACTTACTGACTGACTGACTGACTTACTTACTTACTTACTTACTTACTTACTGACTTACTTACTGACTTACTTACTTACTTACTTACTTACTTACTTACTTACTTACTTACTTACTTACTTACTTACTTACTTACTTACTTACTTACTTACTTACTTACTTACTTACTTACTTACTTACTTACTTACTTACTTATTTACTTACTTATTTACTTACTTACTTACTTACTTACTTACTTATTTACTTACTTACTTACTTACTGACTTACTTACTTACTTACTTACTTACTTACTTACTTACTTACTTATTTACTTACTTATTTACTTACTTACTTACTTACTTACTTACTTATTTACTTACTTACTTACTTACTGACTTACTTACTTACTTACTTACTTACTTACTGACTGACTGACTGACTGACTTACTTACTTACTTACTTATTTACTTACTTACTTACTTACTTACTGACTTACTTACTTACTTACTTACTTGCTTACTTACTTACTTACTTAATTACTTACTTACTTACTTACTTACTTACTTACTTACTTACTTATTTACTTACTTATTTACTTACTTACTTACTTACTTACTTACTTATTTACTTACTTACTTACTTACTGACTTACTTACTTACTTACTTACTTACTTACTTACTTACTTATTTACTTACTTATTTACTTACTTACTTACTTACTTACTTACTTATTTACTTACTTACTTACTTACTGACTTACTTACTTACTTACTTACTTACTTACTGACTGACTGACTGACTGACTTACTTACTTACTTACTTATTTACTTACTTACTTACTTACTTACTGACTTACTTACTTACTTACTTACTTACTTACTTACTTACTTACTTATTTATTTACTTACTTACTTACTTACTTACTTACTTACTTACTTACTTACTTACTTACTGACTTACTTACTTATTTACTTACTTACTTACTGACTGACTGACTTACTTACTTACTTACTTACTTACTTACTGACTTACTTACTGACTTACTTACTTACTTACTTACTTACTTACTTACTTACTGACTTACTTACTTACTTACTTACTTACTTACTTACTTACTTACTTACTTACTTACTTACTTACTTACTTACTTACTTACTTACTTACTTACTTACTTACTTACGTCTGTTACCCACAATGGAGGATAGACCGCCCACCAGCATTCTCCAACACACTCTGTCCTGGGCCTTCCTTTCTAGTTTTATACAATTTTTGTTCATTCTTCTCATATCTGTCTCCATTTTTTTTTCTGGGTAATGTGTTCTTTGGTCTACCTCTTCTTTAGCCTTGGTAATTCCGCGAGAGTGTTTAGCTTGCGAAGCAGTTGGGTGATTTCCTCAATGTATGTCCTATCCAATTCCAATGCTTCTTTCTGATTCATTCTTCCACTGGATAGAATTTGGTTTGTTCTCTTTCACAGTAGGTTGTCGCTAACAAAAACGCTAACCATAAAAATAAAGAATAAATCAATGAAAATACGGTTAATTTTAAGAAACAGTTAGTCAATATTAGAATTAAACTGTTGGTTATAATGGAATGGGTTTTAAGCTTTATTCGTCTTTGTTTATGCTGTTCTTTGTCAGTTAGGTAAATGAACAACGTATTAAATGTACAATATAGGAACCAAAACCGAGATATATATAGTGAGGGCTTCACGTCTTACATAACTTCATATATATATATATATTTTTTCATAGTTGAAATCATGAGTCAATTGAAGCTAGACCACTATGAAAAACCTGGAATCACTAAACGGCTGTTTCGTCGTATTATGAGACTCCTCGGTAGTGCGCATCCACGATCCCTAACGGTTAAATGCTCCGGCTCGAGACTGGTAGGTCCTGGGTTCGAAACTCGCGGGTTTGGGATCTTGGATGCGCACTGCTGAGGAATCCCACAAGAGGACGAAACTGCCGTCCAATGATTCCAGGTTTTTCATAGTGGTCTGGTTTCAATTGACTTATGATTTCAACTATGAAAATACTGAAATCTCCACAAAACCCCCTATGATATAATATATATAACAACATCAGTGAATGTTGTCACTATGGTGATTAAAAGGAACTTATTAATCTATCCATTTTATATATATTCAAAGAAAAGTGAATGACATTATTTTACCAATTTTTTTTTCTTTTGCAATATGATTTCCGACAAGTGCTTCGAATGAAATGAGTTTAGTAAAGTCAAAGAATAATGTTCACCTTATGGAATTAAATAATAGGCCTGTAGTGAGTGTTGTCAATGAAGTTTAATAGTTAAGTTTTAAGATTTTGATATTTACTTATAACTATCAAAGATTTTTTTTAAAGGTTATATGTATTAGCTTAGTGGTAACATAACATATCAAACTGTTGGAGTCAGGTTACTGCTAATGATTAATTAAAGTCAGGATGATTGTTTAGTGCTTACAAATGCAAAAGAAGCACATTAGATGCCGTTGCTGTTCTGCATCACAATATAGTGTTCGGGTTGGAAAAGGGTAAGAAGTATGTTAGATGCGCTTTTCTGGACTTTACTTCTGCTTTTGATTCTATTCCAAGACACCTCTTACTTAACAAGCTGATTCGCATCGACACTGACAGCTGGATAACCAATTGGCTACGCTCCTACCTTTCTGGAAGAGAACAGTACACTGTATTTGAAAGAAAGTGTTCAACATCTCTACTGTCTACTGTAGGTGTGCCACAAGGAGCTGTTCTTTCACCTCTGCTCTTCTCTTTCTTTTTGCATGATCTGCCATCTTCCACAGAAAACACTTTTGTAAAATATGCGGACGACCTCACTGTATGTATGCCAATTTCTACCTCCTTACATCCTATAGAAATGAATGAGTTTTTATCTCGTATTGAAAGGTGGTCTGTTGGTAATGGTCTCTTACTCAATCCATCTAAATGTCAAGCTGTTAATTTTAGCTTGAGACATGGACAGAACCTATACTCTATGTTGGGATCCCATAATGCTTGTGCCATTGGAGACTCCTTAATAAACACAGTGTCGAGGGTCAAATATCTTGGTGTTACTTTTTCCTCTGATCTTTCTTGGTCTTCTCATGTTTTACTATTATCGAAAAAAGTTTACCGCTTGACATACTACATAAAGAGGCTGCATGCTTTTGAGATTACTCGCCATTTACTCTTACAATTTGTAAATTCCTGCATATTACCTATTATTTTATATTGTTCTCCATTATTCTTTCCTGGGCTTTTGAGAAAAGACTTTGCTATTTTGCGTAGAATGCTGAAGGCGGTTTGCAAGGTATGTGGTGAATCTTTTGAAGTCATTGTTAATATGCTTGTGGATAGACATCTTAAGTCTTGCAAACTCTTGGCAGGTGTTATCTTATCAGATACTAACCATCCGCTTTATTCATATCTTTCTCCTTGTATATCTTCTGGTAGAACGAGACGTAAATACATTAAAATCCATGCACGCAAGCAAATCTATAAAAGTTCTGTAATACCTTACTTAGCAAATTTACTTTGTGACGAACAGGCTGTTAGAGTTGACCTAGTAAATAACCTGTCTTCTTAAGCATGTCTCAAATTCGATAATTTGTATAAAGTCGGTTTTTCCTAGACCTTTTTTTTAAATTTTATTTCTGTTTTTTTTATTTTTGTTTGTTTTTTCGGGTTTTCTTTTTTGGTAAAAAACTTGTTGAAATAACTCGTGCTGAGAATTCTATATTGTACCAGATTATAATATTGAATAAAGCCATTAATAATAATAATAATAATAATAATAATAATTGTAGTAATCTAATAGTTGAATTCATGAGTCGATTAAAGCTACAAGCAGTAAGTCACTGAAGACAATGGTTGATGGTAGCACAATTTCGTGAATTGTTCAAAGTTTGAAATTGACACCGTTGGATGCCAGCCTGCTCAGTAGTCTAGAGGTTAAAGATCCGCGTGCCATCCCGATGGATCCTGAGTTGGAACCTTACAAGCAGGATCGTGGAAGAACCGGCTGTCCAGAGATTACAGGGTTTCCATGGTAGTCTAATTCCAATCGACTGATCAATTGAACTATTAAATTAATACAAAAAAAGTTGATTATTTTTATAGTACCATTTTAATTATTAGCATTCATCCATTTCATATATGTTTCTATTTCCCACAGTATTGTGTTCTTTGGCCTTCCTCCTTTCCCCTTCCCTTCCGGATTCGAAATTAGGGCCTGCCTCGTGATGCAGTTTGTTGATTTCCTTAATTTATGTCCGATCCACTTTCAAAGTATTTTCCAAATTTCCTTTTCACATGAAAGCTGCTCCATCCTCTCCCATAAAAGGCCGTTGCTGATGGTGTCCGGTCAGTGAATGTTGAGTAATTTACGTAGCCAACTTTTTATAAACACTTGTCCCTTCTCGACGACGAATGTAGTAGTTCTCAACATTTCAGCTTCATACAATAGGACTATCTTGATGTTCGTATTAAAGATTGTGACTTTGATATTACTTGAAAGACAGTTGTTATGAGTTACATATGTTTGATCTTTGAAATCATTCAATAATATTTTGATAATATTGTATTGTTCCTTTTTGGATAGGTTGAACCATGTTGTTGGATGACTTATACATCACATCGTGAAACTCAAGAAACACTTCAAATATTAAATGATTTAGATTTAGATACAGAACGGAGAACTGAAGAAGAATTATATTCAAAATTTGGTTGGGATGATGCATATCAATCTGGTAAATTAACATTATGGCAAAGATATAAACCAAAAATATGGATGTTATTCGATGAATGTTATTCATCATTAGGAGCAAAAGTAAGTCAGTTTATTTTTGGTTTATGTACATAAACCATATGGTCTGTATCTAATCAATGTGAAAGAATAGAGATTCTATAAACGTGTCTCATTATACATTAAGTGTGACTTGGTCAACGAGAACAACTGTAGTGATTTATTAAGAATCAAGGTTGTGCAACATGAAGGTTTATCCATACTAAAAAACGGTCAACTAAAGAAAGAAGGATTTCATCTTATGGCGTTGAGTGTTCTCAATGTAGCTTATAGACGATGTGTTATGATTTCATTGACTGTCACCTTTGAACTGTGATTTCATGAACAAAGATATTGCCTTAAGTCACAAACTTTATAAGCAAAGAAAGATAGTGGCTAGCAGTGGAATCTGGGATGTCTGTTTCGTCCTATTCTGAACTCGTCAGCTAAATGTACAAGCATGGTCCTTTCAGAACTCAGTAGGTAAGTGGATAAAGTGATGGCGTTTGAAGCGAACGGTAATAAGTTCGAGTACTAGAGTGAACATCAACTCTGAAATACAGGTACAGCTGACGTGTCACAAATACTAGGAGACGTGCATGAAAATTTACTTCACTTCTAGTCACTATTCATCTTTGCTTATATACCTCTATCTTACTTTAAAGTACCCTAGTTTAAAATTACAAATCATAACCTTATTTCTATTCTGCTTCAATTCGTATACACTAATTTAAGACACATTATTTTTCGTTTTCCAAAAAGCAACTTCCTTTTATTTGGTAAGCAGAGATGGATAGTGCCTAGCAGTGAAATCCAGGACGCGCACCACTTCGTCCTATTTGGGACTCGTCAGCTGGATGTACCTGCATCTCAGAGTTGATGTTCACTCTGGGACTCGAACCCAGTACCCTCGCTTCAAACGCCATCGCGTTATCCACTCGACCACTGAGTCCTGATAGCCACTTAAGACTGACCAGTTGCAGTCCCAAACACATCGATGGGAAGATCCAAACAAACAATACTAAGTGAATTCCTTTTATTTATTCATACCCTGTTCTCTAATTTTCTTTCTGAACTATAAAACAATAAAAAAATTATCCCCATATCTATGAACAGAAAATTTACCCTTAGAAACTGATTCCTCTGTTGTTGTTGTGGTGGTGGTGGTTGTGTTTTATAATTTTTTATATTTTTTTTGGATCGGATACTTCATTTTCGTCTTTCCATCTAAATAAAAAATATGACCTTCATTACTATTCTTGATTTGATTAACTTTCAAAACCGAGAAAATAAAAAAATAATAATAAATATGTCGCCCTAATCCTAAGTGTTACTTAAGATATATTTTAGCATTTGACTATTAAAATTATACTGGGAAAGATCTCATAATGAGTCTAATACAAAATAAAAGAGTTCCTGATAACTCATGCTAATTGAATGCTATACTCAGTTCTTAAGCTAGCTACCCATAAATGCCATGGTATGGCCGAGAGTGGTTAGAGTCCGCTCTCCCTCTCGAAATGCTCTCACATAGCCACGCGTACATAGCCTATGTTATGGAAATTTCTACTCACTGCCTTCTCGTGGCACTAGTGTTGTTTACGAAATTGATAGGACGAAAAGCGAATGTCCGACGCTTTAACCGGGTTGGTGTATTTGGAGTATCCACCTAGGGGAATTGGAAAACCCTGATTCCAAACCAATGGTGCACATGGGCTTGCTTCAGTATCGTGAGGGAACAAATGGCGTATGGATCAATCATTGGTCACCTGCTACCATGGATACATCTCCTTACGATGCTCCACTGCCTTGTGGATCAGACCTTCAGATCAAAGGCTCCGAGTGTGGCCCCCTAAGAATACCATCTACTTCAGTTTTGACGCCTACAACCTGATCGATAGAATTCGATCAGCGCTAAAGAACGACTTGATTAAAGTGTAATAATCAAAACCCTGATTATTATATAGAATAGAGGGAGTTTGAATAGTAGTGCAACTCTATCTGTAGCCCATCTAAGGTTACTTCCAGTTTCAACCAGTTTAACCCACACAAATCCAGTTTAACCATATGGTCAGAGGTCAATCCAATAAAACAGTCGATAAGTAGCATGAAAATAACAGAATCTAGGAAGGTAATCAGTCATAATTAAGGTCAGATGAACGATCTCATTTAGTGGTAACCAAATATTATTTTTTGACTAGAAATGGGGGTTTAATATGTTATTAAAATTTATACCTACAACAATGTTATCTTAATAATTAAACCAACTAGTTCAAAGAATGTAGCATTCTATAGTTGAATTCATAAGTCAATTGAAGCTAGACCACCATAGAAAACCTGAAATCACTAAACTGCCGCTTCATCCGAGTACAAGAATCCATAGCGATGCGCATTCACGATCTCACTCACGGGATTCGAACTGAGGACTTATCATTCTCGTGTGCTGAACGTGTAACCTCTAGATCACTGAGCTTGTAATCGTGAGTCAATTGGAGCTAGATCACCATTTAAAACCTGTAAGCACTGAACAGCCGTTTCGTCCTAATGTGGGACTTCTCAGCAGTGCGCATCCATCATCCTACCCCCACGGGATTCGAATCCAGGACCTATCATAAATTGATTAGCATCATTCCATAAGATATCTGAATATATTCTAATACATTAAAAATTCTATCTATGGTTCATTAATATATGATTCTTATTGTTTCTTATTAATGATTTTAAACTGTTACCGGAAATATTCATATCTGTCTAGACTTAACCATACTGAACATTCCTAACATGATAATCAGCATAGTTTCTAACTATAAGTTATATATATATATATATACATAGATAGATATACTAACATTGTACTATAGATACATATTAGGCTTCAAAAAAGGTTTATAATCAACTGGTTGAATCAGTCTACTAGAACTAGACCAATCTCTCTCTTATTTCATTTTAATTGATTCCATGGTATTTAATACGACTACTATTATTATTACTATTGGTAGTAGTAACAGTAGTATTGTTACATGATATACCAATGTAACTGACTTAATGTATATCAACTTCCGTTACTTGTTTATATCATTATAAGACAAGTACACTAAAACTTAAATGTATGAAATAGAATACATATCTATATTGCCTTTGTATTCGTGTATAGGTGTATATATATTTCTAATAGAAACGATTATGTAATCTATATATATATTACCCTGAATAGTTTTGGACATGTCTGTTCCGTATTTCTTTTCTTTTTTTTCTCTCTTTTTTTCTCTGCAAAACATGATTTAATCTGCAAAGAGAAAAACTTCCTACCCCCCCCTTTGAAAATAATAATTTTGAATGAAAAATTAGAATTTTTAATACTCATGTGATAAAAACCATGTCAATATAAATGAAGAAATTATCTTGGAAACAATGTATTGTTTATTTACTTATTTACGCCTGTTAGCCCTCGTGGAGGAGGATATGCCGCACACTAGCATTCTCCATCCAATTCTTTCCAGTTAACATTCATCTTTTTCATATCTACTTCTTCATAGTTGAAATCATTAGTCAATTGAAGCTAGATCACCGTGGAAAACCTGAATGCACTGGACTGCCGTTTCGTCCTATCATGGGACTCCTCAGTAGTACGCAGCAAAGATCCCGCTCCACAACATTCCGGCTCAGGACCTATCAGTCTCGCACCAGATCACTTAACCGATAGACCACTGAGCCAGTCGTCATCCAACGGTGTTAATGTCCAGTACTTTCAGGTTTTCCATGGTGTTCTAGCTTAAATTGACTAATGATTTCAACTATAAAAATACTGAAATCTCTACAAAACCCCTTCTGAATATCTGCTTCTGTTCCCCGACGTAATGTGTTCTTTGACCTTGGTCTTTTGCGCTTCCCTTCCGGATTCCAAGTTAGGGCTTGTCTTATAATGCACATTGATGATTTCCCTAATGTATGTCCTATCCACTTCGAAAGTTTATTTATTTTTCTCTTTTTAATTTAAGTAATTTTTGACTTTAAAATTTTATTTCTTTACGTGGTTATGAACATCTTACAGTGTAGTTATGCAAAGATCCGATGAAGAAAGAGGACAGCTTGAGATTAGCTTATTTAATTGAAAATGGTCATAGTAACCAATTCTTTTATTTTCATTTATTTATCGGGTCATTAATTTTTTTTGTCAAAGCCTGTAAGACTAAAATTTCTTTAAACGATTAAATCAGTAACTATCCGGATTAAGAAACTGGAACTGTGTATAAAAAAAACATATTTGTAACTGCTTTCTCCTCCATTGGCCAACCTCAGGGTCAATTAAGCAATAGTAAACATAGTTATTGAATGACCTATTTAAACTAATTTACTTATACCCTTTCTTATTTAAATATAATTGTCAAGTCAGTTAACAACATGCAGGATTATGGAATAAATAACACCTCGGCGAGACTATAAATTATGGACGAGCCAATCAGAAGCATTTGAGGGAGAAAACGTGACAGTTAAGTGGCTAAAATAAATGGGGCTATTTGTAATTGCGGTAATTAAATGACTTCTAGACCTTGTGAAAACTACCGTGTATTGTCCTTCGATGTAATATATGTTGAAGGAAGACGTTTGCCACAATAGGAACCTTTATCGCTCGATCCAGATTGAGACTAATGCATATTATAATAATTGACGCAAACTGTATAATAAAAATACCAGTAACATTGGCTGCAATAAACGAAGATGTCACTGAAACTTCGGCTGTTCAGTGTTATAAGTATTGTAGGGACATATCCACCATAAAAATGCTAAAGTTATACAACCGGAGTACACATAAACAATAGTGAAGCTATGTGGTCGAGGCTGAGAGGGTTTTTGTGACCTCATCATGGTTCCAGAGACGAGCTATTATGCAGCGATATTGATGATTTCCCCTACCTGATGTATTACGATTTCGGAAATTTCCGTCCCCTGTAAGATTTGCACTCATGGTATCTAATGTTTATAGTGATTGACAACAGAATGTTGAAATAGAAATAAATATGAATATGATTTTTTTTTTTAATACTTCAGATCATAAGTCAATTGGAGCTAGAACACTATGGAAAACCTGGAAACACTAGAAGGAAACTTCTTCCTATTGTGAGACTCCTCAGCAAGGTGCATCCTCGAACCCAGGACATGTCAGTCTTGCGCTCGAACCTTTAACCTCTAGACCACGGTGTGAATGTTTAACTTCAAGTTTTCCAGGGTGGTCTAGCTTCAATTAACTCATGATCTGAACTATTAAAAAAATTACTATAATATCCACAAAAAAGCCCATTATGATATGAATATGATTATTGACAATATACATGATTGGAATTTATAAAATGTTAAGATTGTTAATTAACCAAAGAATTTTTGATTTAAGTAGTCAACTTAGTTTGAAATTATATAATTAAAGAAAAGTGAACTTAAAGATCTCAGAAAAATAAAAAAAAAACACGAAATGACTAAGAAACAAAATAAGTATGAAACATGTGAAAATATTTGATTAGAAAAGTAGTTATTTACTGAATTACTCACGCCTGTTACTCTCATTGGAGCACAGGCCACCAACCAGCATTCTCCAACACACAGACTCTGTCATCGGCCTTCCTTTCCTAGTCCTATCCAGTTGTAGTTTAGTATTCTCATATCTGTCTCTATTTCTCGGCGTAATGTGTTCTTTGGTCTTCCTCTTCTCCTTTGATCTTTAGGATTCCATGTGAGTGCTTGTCTTGTGACGCCATTAAGTTATTCCCTCAATGTGTGTCATATCTTCTTCCAATGCTTCTTTCTGATTTCTTCCTTCACTGGAATCTGGTTTGTTCTTTCTCACAGTAGGTTGTTGTTGATAGTGTCTGGTCAACGGATCCGATGTATTTTGCGTAGACAACCGTTAACAAACAATTGTTTATTCTGGATGATGGCTTTTCTAGTTCTTTACGTCTCCGCCCTATACAGTAGAACTATCTTGACACTTGTATCGAAAATTCTGATCTTGGTGTTGGTTTAAAATTGTTTTGAGTTCTAGATGTTCATCGGTTGTAGATATGCTGCTCTTGCTTTTTCGATCCGCGTCTTCACATCTGCATCTGATCCACCGTGTTCATCGGTAATGCTTCCCAGATATGTAAAGGTTTCCACATCCTCCAAAGCTTCTCCGTCAAGTGTAATTTGATTGATGCATGCTGTTTTGTATCGAAGAATCTTGATTTTCGATTTGTGTATATTGAGACGTACTACTACTGAGGCTTAGAAACGTAGTTACTTAAAAATGTATAAAATATGTATCTTTCGTTAATAATAACATTTTTAAATATTAATTTGTAAACCTTCTTATATGTATACCAGGAGCTTATGAGTTTGAAAGATAAGCACCAAAAATTTGGATTATTAAGTTCGAATCCTATGTTTTATATTTCTAACTTCAACCAACTCATACAATAGTACTATACCTACCTAATTTTTTTTTATTTTCAATCATTTCTCTAGTCAATGTCAATATATCATGAGGACTAGTTTCATTGTAAACTAATCACTCTAAAGTTCATAATCAAACAATCAAAAACAGTTTATAATCAGAGGGGTTTTTGTGGAGATTTCAGTGTTTTCATGAAACAATTCAAACTGGACCATCATGGAATACCTGGAAGCAATAGACGGCCGTTTCTTTCTACTATGGGACTCGTCAGCAGTGCCTTCAGAGATTCGAACTCAAGACCTATCAGTCTCGCACATGAGTGCTTAACAACTAGACCACTGTATTGGAGGCTCGCGATGCAGGATCGTGACTGCATACTGTTGAGGAGTCCCACAATAGGACGAAACGACCATCCAGTGCTTTCAGGTTTTCCATGGCGGTTTAGCTTCAATTGATTGATGATGTCAACCTTGTTTATTGATTTGTTAATTCCATTCTTTCATTCTTTCATTTGTTTTCTTTTTTTTTTTTTTAGATTATTGCTGTCATCTCTGTATTTTTCATTGTTTTATCCATATTATGTTTTTGTTTAAAAACATCATCTAATTTACGTATACCTATATTATATAATGATACAACAATACAAATTCAATCAAAACATATAACTACAAATTATAAAACATCACTACATTATATACCTTATTCTACATTATCATCATCATCATCATCATCGTCGCCGCCATCGCCGCCATCACCGCCATCACCGCCGTCATCATCGTCATCAATGTATAGACATATCAATACACAATCATTCAATAATAATGATCATAATAATAATAATAATAATAATAATAATAATAATGTATGGACAATACGTAAACGTATGATTAAATCTCATATATTATTTAGTTATATAGAATCTATATCAAATGGATGGTTTACATTTGAAATTATTATAAGATTTATAGTTACCCCTAGTAAATTACAATTTATTAAATCACCAATTAATATTATTGATTTATTAGCTTTATTATCATTTTATATTGATTTATGTTTAACTAAAATTATGTTAACTGAAATGAATTATGAATCATTAGAATTCTTCTCCATTATCCGCATTATGAGATTGTTTAAATTAACCCGCCATATAGCTGGTTTAAAAATTCTTATTCATACATTTCGTGCTAGTCTTAAAGAATTAATATTATTAGTATTTTTTCTTATTGTATTTATTGTTATATTTGCTGCATTAATGTATTATGCTGAACGTTTTCAATATAATCCACAAAATGATTTTTCATCAATACCAATTGGTTTATGGTGGGCTATTGTTACTATGACAACTGTTGGTTATGGAGATCAAGTACCAAAAACATATTTAGGTAATTATTATTATTATTATTATTATTATTATTATTATTTGTATTATTATTGTGTATGAGTGTGTGTTTGTATTCCGAATTAGTTTGTTTTTGTTTTTTTTCTGATTAGCGTTTTTTATTTTTTAGCAGCAGATAAGGTTGTCTAATCTCCCCTCCCCTTCATTTTTCTTCTGATGATTGACTGGATTATGAAAACTATGATATTTGAGGGAAAGCATGGAATAGAATGAACATCTCAGTATCAGTTAGACGATTTGAACTTTTCAGATTGTTTAACACTCCTACCCTATACAAACCAACAAATACAGAGGAACACGACTAATGCAACAGTAGCCACTACATCAATAGGCTTCAACATACATAAAAGGAAAAAATAAGATTCTCAAGTAAATAACACAGAGAACACAAATCAAACCAATTACACTTGATGGAGAAACACTGGAAGAGGTGGAAACATTCATGTATCTGGGAAGCATCGTTGATAAACAAGGAGGATCGGATGCAGATGTAAAAGCGAAGATTGGCAAAGCAAGGGCAGCATTTCTACAATTGAAAAACATATGAAACTCAAAACAACCTTCAACTAATTTCAAAGTGAGAATCTTCAATACGAACGTCAAGAGAGTCCTATTGTTTGGAGCTGAAACGTGGAGAACTATTAAATCCATCGTCAAGAAGGTCCAAGTATTTATAAACAGTTGCTTACGCAAAATATTCAACATTCACTGACCGGATACTATCAGCAATAGCGTTTTATGGGACAGGACTGAGCAACTTTCATCTACATAAGAAATTAGGAAAAGATGCTGGAAGTGGATAGGATATACATTGAGGAAATCACCGAAATGCATCACGAAGCAATCTCTAACTTGGAATCGTGAAGTGAAGCTGAAAAGAGGAAGATAAAAGAACATATTGCGTCGGTAATTGGAAGCAGACATGAATTGGGTAAATAGCAAGTGGAAAGAATTAGAAAGGATTGACTGAGCCAGGAAGGGATGGAGAATGCTGGTGGTCAACCTATGCTCCTGAATGAGAGATAACACACGTAAGTAAGTTAGTAAGTAAGTAAGTAAGTAAGTAAGTAAGTAAGTAAGTAAGTAAGTAAGTAAGTGTGTTTCTATACTTTATTTCTATATTTAATCCATTATGTTATATTTTTTTCTTGATCAAATTAATAATTAATTTACGTTACTTAACGCTTGACTAACTAGCTATTACCCTATTGAAAGATTGAGAATGCATTAAAAGCTTTAATATCAATGCTTGAATGAATATATACATAAGTTATGTATAATATATCATAATAAACTGGTCTAGACAATAAACTTTCGGCAATGATTTCGGACGTATGAGTAATTCATTTACCTATGGTAGTCCTATACATTTGTGAACTGCATATTTGTTATACAGTTTTTAATAGTATATTATCTGTTTAATAAAGTTGAGATCATGATTCAATTGAAGCTAAACCATCATGGAAAACCTGAAAGCACTGAACAGTCGTTCCGTCCAATTGTTGGACTCCTCAGCAGTAAACATTCACGATCCCGCCTCGAGAGATTCGAACACAGGACCTACCAGTCTCGCGCCAGAGCACTTAACCCAATAGACTACTGAGCCGGCCGGCATCCAACGATGTTAATGTCTAACTTCAACCAATCCACGAAGTTGAGCAACCATTTCACCAATGCTTTCAGTGAGTTGATATCTCCCAACAGACCTGGTTGAACTCCACTAGTTACTGCTTCTCACTAGAACTCCAGGAAATACCTAATGGAGCCAGTCACTAGTGAGCATATGATCATTTTCAGAAGGGGGTGTTGTGGATACTTTAGTATTTTTATATAGTTGAGATCATGATCTATTTAAGGTTTTAATATGATGTAATTCTTTGGAACTTACTCAATTTCATCACCTTCCTCTTCGAATTCACCTGTATCAGCTGATATATGCAAAATATGAAATAACTTTATTTTACATTTAGATTTAGATTTTTAAAAATAGTTCCCCGATAGTTTTAAAAAATACTTTCAAAAATGCAGTAGTAAAATCCAGAACGCACGTTTCATCCTTATGGGGACTCATCAACTGTATATACCTGCATCTCAGAGTTGATGTGTACTACAGGACTCGAACCCAGAACCATTCGCTTTAAACGCCATCACTTTATTCACTTAGCTACTAAGTCCTGGTAGCCGCTAACTTGAGAAGATTGAAGTAAACAGTATCAAGTGAATGTAATATCAATTACGTCAGGACCGAACAAATAAATGATGATAACGATGTCTGTAAAGTAGCCAATGCGCAAATACTGAGTTCTAAAGTGTAAAAGTCTAACATGTAACCTCCGTTAGTGAAATTATTTATAAACCTTTCCGTAAACAGTACACCTACCAAATGGGCAAGCTACATGTCTACATACATATATTATTTATAACATAGACTTCATGAAAACAACTGCCATACCCAGGGATTTCAATCACTCAAAAATTTGAAAATGTTTCATCTTATAACAAGATGAATAAAGGTTAGATATTTAAAGCATTAGATTAACATTCAGTAATCGAAAAGGTAAGCACTTATGAAAAGTATAAGCGGTTCTAAGTATGATCTCATCTTTTAAGACGTAGTTGCTGACAGATAAGAAATCTCAAACCATAATGAGGTATTTATTCAGTCGTCTCTAGTTTTCAATTATTCTCCACGGTATGGAACTTCTCATCAGTGATCATCCACGATCTCATTCGCGGGATTTGTACCTAGGAACACTTAACTTCTAGACCACTGAGCCAGCTAGCATCCAACAGCGTTAATATCTCACTTCAATAAATCCACGAATTCCCTGAGTTTTCATTGTATATTTCGATGAAAGGGTGCCAAAATAAACTAATCATTATTAATTATCATAAGGGGTTTTGTGAAGATTTAGTATGTTTCATAGTTGAAAGCATGAGTCAATTGAAGCTAGACCACCATGGAAAACCTGGAAACACTGGATGGCCGTTTCGTCCTATTATGGGACTCCTCAGCAGTGCGCATCCACTTGAAGTTAGACATTAACACCATCGGATACCGGCTCAGTGGTCTATCGGTTAAGGTCTCTGGCTCGAGACTGGTAGGTCCTGGGTTCGAGTCTCGCGAGGCGGGATCATGGATGTTCACTGCTGAGGAGTCCAACAATAGGACGGAACGACCGTCCAGTGCTTTCAGGTTTTCCATGATGGTCTAGCTTCAATTGACTCATGCTTTCAACTATGAAATAAACATTATTGGATATCATTTTCCTTTATAAAGCTTTATAAATAATTATTAATGAAACCCATTAACTCATCATTGAATATCAGTAAACTCTATACATAAAAGTTTATATTCTGATCCGAGTATTGGCCGCGTATTTACTCTGGTAGGGTAAATCGAATCTTTATCTGCCATTACCTTTTACCTTATTTCTTGTGTCTTTCAATCTTTTAACATATAGCTTAGAACTGATTTTGTGGCTCTAGATCTGACTCCTGTCACATCGTACGACTGATTGTTATCGAAATACACATGTTGTCAAACCTCGTATATAACTATTGACTTAATCCACGTTAGTGAATAACGGAATAATGTTCTGAATATGCATATTTTGTACAATTGTTGATCAGAGGGACGAAGCGAGGCGAAGAGAGAGAAGCGAAATGACAGTCAAGGTTGATAAGTGAATAATTAACAAGGTCAAAATGTGACTCAAGTGGAACGAATAAATTAGCTTCTTCAGAAGCTAGAATAAGCTATGTGGGCTTAACATAGAAACTGATACAACACTGAGCAAGAATAGATATTTATTGATGAATCTTTAATCCTCAAACTATAATATCCAATTATCCACTATTCATAAACATATAGAATCAACTGAGTGATTGATTTATTCGATAATAAAAGATTCAGGAGGAGTTTAGTGTAGATTTAGTATTTTCATAGTTGAAAGAATGAATCAATTGAAGCTAGACCATCATGGAAAACCTGCAAGCACTGAACGGTGGTTTCGTCCTATTGTGGGACTCCTGAGCAGTGCACAACCACGATCCCGCACCAGAGCACCTAACTGACAGACCACTGAGCCGGTATCCCATGGTTTTTATGTCTAACTCCAACCAATCCACGAAGTTGAGCAACCGTTCACCAATTGTCTTCGGTGATTTCCTATCTCACAGCAGACGTGGTTTGAACTCCACTAGTCACTGCTTCTCACTAGAACTCCAGGATTTACCTCTCGTAGTCAGTCACTAGTGAGCATATGATTATTATTATTATTATCAGAAGAGGTTTTTCTGATAAACGGTTACTATGTAAGCTTAACTTAGCAACTAACACTACACTGAGCAAGATTAAATATTTATTGATGAATACTTAATCTTCATACTAAAATATCCAATTATTCTCTATTCATAAGCAAATAGAACCAATTGAGTGATTGATTTATTCGAAAATCAAACATTCATCAACATAATTTTCAGGTTTAAAAAACAACATTTAAAGAGGTCTTAAAGTAATATTTATTTATTTAAACACACAAGTATTGGTACAAGGGGGAACTAGATATATATGCATCACACAAAAAATTGTCATTTCATTTAATTACGTAAAGGCTATGATACTGTCCGAGTGCCCAGACCAAAGCAGGTCGTTTTCTTAAGGGGCCACACCTATAGCCTTCCAACTAAAGATCTGATCCAAAAGGCAGTGGAACATATTAAGAAGATCCAGTCCCATAATAGTAGGTGATCAACGATTGATTCATACGCCATTTGTTCCCTCAGGATACTGGAGCCCATGTGCACCATTGGTTTGGAATCAGGGTTTTCCAACTCCCCTAGGTTGACTTTCCGTGTCAACCAACCCGGGTAAAGCGCCCGGATATTCGCCTTTTGTCCTCTAAATTTCGTGAACAACACCCCTACCACGAGATGGCAGTGAGTAAAGCATGATACACACATGTATATCAAAATAAAGTT